TCAAGAGCTCCCTTCCCCTTGTGTGGCTCAGCCACCATCAGCCTAGGCTGGGATTTTTGATACTGAAGGCATTTCAAACTCAAACCAAGAGGGTTTCTGGCATGAAACATCCTCTGAGGAGGGCAGCAAAAAGCTCAGAGGTGCAAACTGTTCTTGGGCAAGCTCGAAAAAGACACTTGTTCCTCTGGAGAGCCAAACCCACCAGAAATGGCTGCAACAGCTGGGGCTGGAACCCAGCACCACTACAGAGCACTGTGCAAGGTAGAGGTGACACTTGGTCCACCTGTAGAGCTTGGAAATCTTCCTAGATGCATTTGAGAGTTTAGCAATCACTCGAGGGTTTAGCAGCCACAGCTGGCCAGGAAAAGGGGAATTAAGGATTGGGAAGGATGGCAAAATTTAAAGCAGAGATGGGACACCATGACACCAAACAGCCCTGGAACACTCCTCTGCTCAGTGGAAAGGCATCTGGGAGACATCAGCAATGTAGTAACAATGGTACATCTGTTAGCAAGGGCAGGAGTCCTCACAGCTGCAGAGCAACAGCACCCGTCACGAGAAGGGGCAGGGATATGTCAGCAGAAGGTAAGGAATATAAAATATAAACCTTTCCAAACCCATCAAGGAAACCGAAGTAAGTTTCAGTGTAAAATAATTAAATGGGAGCTAAAAACATTTCTTTTAAAGCCTTCCAGTGCCTAAAAAGGCTCCAAGAAAGCTGGAGAGGGACTTTGCACAAGGGCCTGGAGTTACAGGACAAGGGGGAATGGCTTCCCACTGCCAGAGGGCAGGGATGGATGGGATATTGGGAAGAAATCCTCCCTGTGAGGGTGGGCAGGTCCTGGCACAGGGTGCCCAGAGCAGCTGTGGCTGCCCCTGGATCCCTGGCAGTGCCCAAGGCCAGGCTGGACAGGGCTGGGAGCAGCCTGGGACAGTGGAAGGTGTCCCTGCCATGGTGGGGGGAGGGAGCAGGATGAGCCTTGAGGCTCCAGCCTAAACCATTCTGCAAGTCTGACACTTCACATTAGATTTGAGATTATTTTTTGAGGCACACACATTTATCAAACAAAACAGTTTTGGCCCATTCATATCAAACTCTCCTAGGTCCAGAAAATAACAATGATAACAATATCTGATGATGATGATGATAACACCACCAATAGCTATGCCATTATTCCAGTAGCTGCTAGCCATGTGCTGGTCCTTCACCCCAGGATGATGATTGATGTGCTTCATCATTCTTTAGATCTTTCCAGTCAGGCTTGGAAAGTCTTTGGACTTAACAAAAAGATACACAAATATAATTTTTTGGGCAGATGACTGTTATCTAAAGTCCATTGTACTTGAAAACCACGGGCACAGAAGGTTGTCTGAATGGCTGGCCACTCAACTCTGCAGTGGGAGTTCCAATAGTGATGTTTTGAAGTGCCCCCCTATTAAGAGGCTTTATGATTTGTCCAAATTGGTTTTAGAAAATGATTTAAAGCAAGGTGAAATGTGTCTCAGCTATTCTTCAGGAACATACTGGTTAACTCCACACCTGCTGTCCCAGGTATCCCCAGTCAGGCTGCAGCACCGGTCCACGGCTCTCCTCTGGCCCAGAGCAGGAGCTCATCACTGGCACTGAGGAGCAGCCAGCAAACAGGACACGGGCTGGGAGTGAACAAACACCACCTCCCCACGGGCTCCTTCATCTCTGTTTAAAGCAGGAGCCACCACAGCGTTTTCTGCTCTACTGCCCAGGGCGCCTGCCCCCAGCTGCAATGCATGGTGCACGGCCATGGTGTGGGCAAACACCAGGCTGAGCTTCTAGAGAAATATTTACCTTGCTCTCTGCTGTCCTGGGGCCCAGGGAGACATCCTGGCCTCCATGATGCCAGCTGGGGACCGGGGCTCTCAGACAGTACCAGATGTCACCTCTCCCAGCTGGCTCAGGAAAGCAGCCCCCTTCTGCTGCAGGCTGTATCTCACAGGCCCCTGTCCTGGCTGGCATTTGGGAACACAGCAGGCAGGAAGGGAAAGGGAAAAGAGGCAAACAATAAATGCCCTCTGCTCTCCTCCTCCTGCCCCTCCATACGTGCATCTTGCCCTGCTGCAGGGAGCACCACAGCTCTTCCTTCCCTTTCCCACATGGAGCTGAGCCTACAGCTGCACAAACATCCCCAAACCCAAGCACACCACAGGATTCTCAGAGCTGTCCTGTGCAGGGCCAGGACTTCAGTAATCCTTCCAACTCAGGATATTCTATGATTTTGTCCAAACTCTTTCCTTGTCGCAGACATCTTTTATGAAAAATCCTTTCCTTAGGATTTTTCCTCCTGAGAAGCTGAGAGGCCTCAGGAACAAAATGTAAACATTGATTATCTGCTGCTGTGGAATGCAACAGGTGCATCTGTGATTGGCCCATGTTGGATGTTTCTAATTAATGGCCAATCACAGTAAGCTGGCTTGGACAGAGAGTCTGAGACAGAGACTTTGTTATCATTCTTTGCTATTCTATTCTTAGCTAGCCTTCTGATGAAATCCTTTCTTCTATTCTTTTAGTATAGTTTTAATGTAATATATATCATAAAATAATAAATCAGCCTTCTGAAAGATGGAGTCAGATCCTTGTCTCTTCCCTCAACCTGAGACCCCTGTGAACACCATCACATTTCCTCACACCTTCCTTGGCCTCATCCAGCTCTTGGGGACTGATCTGCCCCATGGGACCATGCTCCCTCCAGATGTGCAAACCAGAGCACAAATGCACAGCTGCCCAACTCCCCTTTCTTACCACCATGGCTCAGGGCAGGCTGCAGATGCTGGGGTGATGAACAGAGGCATCTCTCTTGCTGCAGAAGGAAGTTTTTCTTCAGCCAGGCTCCCTGGGCCAGCCTGGTGTGTCAGCAATCAATGCCATGAGGCCCAGGGGAAGACAGGCAGCAGCTGCCATGAGGATGGGCATAAATTATGGATGTCCCAGGAGCAGAGCACCTCCCTCCACAGAAATGATGGCTTGTGCTGAACAAACCCACGCTGTGCTCACTGAAACACAGCCCTGGTGACACAGCCAGCAGGGCTGCAGGGAAGCTCATGGTGCTGTGCAGATGCATGGCAAGGAAGAGGAGAAACCCATCAGGGCAGGAATGGTCACGGAATGGTTGCCTGCACATCCAGGACCTGGCTCGAGGAGGAAGCCTGGCAGTCGGCAGGCTGTGCTCAGCATCTGGAGTCAGCTGGAAGGCACCAAGCTGCAGCCCCAGGGATGTTCTGGTGCCATCCTTCCATCCCCCTCAGCACAGGTGGTGCTGCCCAGAGCCAACTCCTCTGAAGGAACAGGGAGGAGAAAGCAGAGTTGGGCACAGAAACCTTAAAAGATCAAACGCTCCCAGCGTATCTCCAACAAAAATTCAGAAACGTTACAAAACTGCCTTGTTTTGCTAAGAAAAAGCAGGTGCCAGGTAGGGGTGGGAATGTTGGACAATTCAGTATTCAGAACAAAGAAACTGTGTTTTTTCTAGTTTCCAGGTTGAAAAACAGTGCAGGGGAAAAGAATCAGCTCATTTGTCTTAAAAGGTGTTTTCTATTACATACTAGAAACTACATACAGTAGTTTCTTTATAAATACACATACTTTATATTTCAATATATCTACATGCAACTTTGTATACATACATATTATATATTACTATAATATATAAATATTGTACTTTTTTTTTAATACACTTACCCTTCTCTGTCAGATTTCTCAATCCCTTTCAAACATCCATGGCAGGAGCTAACAGGTGGACTTTGTGCATGCCAAAGGCTCCAGGTGCTCCTCAGAATCCCTTCCAATCCAACCCATTCCATCTCAGGTCACCAGTGGCAAGGCCTGAGCTCCAATGCTGCAGGCCAGCAAACCCTGACGTGCTCCAGATTGGGAAGAGACACAACCAGCAAGGGAAACATCAGAGAGGAGCTCCAAAACCATTTATTGAAACAAAACCAAGAGGAATTCACACGAATCCAAAGCTGGGCAAGCAGGAGGAGGGATGAGCTTTGTCAGGTTTCTTATAGGGTCACCGTTTTTCTGATCTTTAAACAACCTTTTCATCCCATTCCACAGGATGCTGCTTTGGGATGGTAAGAGGTTGTTTTTTTCCTTCCACTGGAGTGTCATAAAAATAAATCTGTCAACTCGTTTTATATACACACATATGGGCTGTGGGGTTTTTTTTCTGTGGGAAAACATCACTCTCTCAGTACTTACAATTAAGTAGCATTATACTTATTTTGTCTTATTGAACTTTTTGGTTTTTAACTGAAAACTTTGAGACTTGAAGTCTGAGGGTACCTAAGGCCAGCACCCAGAGAAAATCAGTTCAGCAGCCAATCTCAGCATGTCTTGTACAGTACAGCAAAGCCCAGGGTGTTTGCCACAGGAGCTCTAACCTGGATCCCAAACAGTGGGAACACCTGGGACACAGGGAAAGCTGGGGTGGGGAAGGACCAGAGCAGCACACCACCACCACACAGGGCTCATTTTCCTTATAAAACAGGCAACAAATCTGTACCACATGGCCACAGCCACAGGTACCTGGCAGGGATGGCAGGAAATTTAATACCAGAGGTGAAAACCTTTCTGTGTCTTTCTTTAGGACAGGTTTTCATGAAGCTGGTATCCATACTGGATCATGCACGTAAATACCAAGCTTTGGTGAAGCTTTGGTGAAGCTTTGGTGAAGCTTTGGTTCCACTCATGGGATGACATGCAACCACAGCTCAGCCTGCTCCAGCGCCCTGGGAAATCTGTCCTCCAGCCCTGCTGCCTGCTGCTGTCCCTCCCCATGCCAGGGACACACCAGCACAGGGAGGAGGATGGTGAGAAGTTGAGAAAAAAACCCCAGGTGAGCCAAAGCAACCAACATCAATGGCACCGGCAGGATGCGCCCAGCAGCGGGGAAGGTTTGTTTTCTGCAGCTTGAAGGCAGCTCCTTCCCCAGGGAAAAGTCCTGCTTTGTCCATTCCTGTCTCTCCTAGAGATAGAAGTCCCCCCTGGAGGTGTGAGGGGGATCTGGCAGCACTTCTGCCCGGGGCTGAGGCTGGCAGGGCAGTGCCAGGCTTCCCCCCAGCACTGGATGGTCTTGGGGCAGTCCCGTGGGAGAGCTGGGCAAACCAGAGCCGCTGTGGGGCTAGGAGAGAGAGAGAACAGTGGTGAGGAGCTTTGCAGGGGGTTATTAGCACTGCCTGCACAGAGCCCCAGCACAGAAAACACTGAGACCCAGAGGGAGCAAGGCCCTTACCCTGTGCCTGCCCTCCTGGCTCCGCGCAGAGCCACGTGTCCCATAGGAATTCAGTGTCTCCAGAGGGCTGCTGATGCTCCCAAAGTGCCCTGCAGCTGAGCTGGGGGAGGAGTGCTGGGGCACGGAAAGAACAGAGCCCAGCTGCTTTTCGGGAACCAGCTGGTAGAAAGGGGGAAGAAACCTGGGATATGGAGCCATCTCTTCCCAGGAGGAGTCCCCAGTGCTGGCAGCATCCAGGCTGCACAATCCATCCAGGTTAAACTGCTGTGGGGGCAGGCTAGGCCCGGGGCCCTGGCAGCCCTGGGGCTGGGAGATGCCGTCTCTGCTGAGGCCAAGAAGGCCAGGCTGAGCTGGAGCCCGCAGCAGAGGGCAGACCCAGTCCTGCCAAGGGCTGGCGTGTGGAGAAGAGCTGGGGCAGGGGCCACACACCCCGTTCATCAGCAAGTGACGGTGCCTGGGCTGGCTGGGTGGTGCCATGTGCTCCTGGCACTGGCTGGGCAGGGGGAAGGACTGCTGGACATCCTCTTGGAGGGGCTGCACGACTGAGAAGTCTCCCTGCAGCTGCTGGGCCCCGGGTGGCTCCTGCAGGCAGGGAGCTCCCGGGGCTGAGCTGGGGGTCCTGTGCCATGGGGTGCTCTGCACTGGCTGGAAGGAGTGGAGCACAGTCTCCTCCCCAGCTGGTCTCCACTGGGAGCCACTGGACAGCTCTTCCTGCTCAGCCAGCTGTGGGAGCAGCCCTGGCACAGCACTGAGGGGCTGCTCCCACAGCAGTGTGAGGGGCTGGGCCAGGGCAGTGTGAGGCTGCCCTGGATGCTGTGCCAGGTGGCACCTCGAGTCTTCATTCTCCATGTGGCATGGAGCAGGGCCTCCCTGCGGGCTGGGGGGCCTGTCTGGCAGGGGACAGACCTGCTGCCCTCCCTCATGCCCATCCACTGGAGGCCTGGGGACACAGGAGAGAATCTGGTTGCTGGCCAGGCTGTTATTCAGGGATGGGGACTGGTCTGGGTCCGTACTGACCATCACCATTTTCTCATCCAGCAGCAGGAGCTCCAGGTCCTCAGCCTTCAAGCCCAGGCCCTCCAGAGCACTGAAGAGCTCGTTGGAACAGCTCTGGTCACTCTTAATTGAGAGCAAGTCCATGGTGGCCAAGAGAGGGTCCTCCTGCTGCAAATCCAGCAGTTTCTCTTGGAGGCTGTTGCCCCTTGAAGAAGCTGGAGCTGTGCCCATACTCCAGGTATCCCCTCCTGCACCTGGCAAGGACACACCCTTGAGCTGGGAAGTGCTGCTGAAGGAAGGGCTCGGAATGGGAGCTGAGTGGGAGGCGTACACCGCCTTGTCCTGCTGCATCACAGCACCCAGCAGAGACCTGGGGTCAATGCCATTCTTCTGGGAGCGCCCTACGTGGCTGCAGGAGGGCTTCTTGGACTTGCTGAGCTTCCCTTTGCTCTGGAAAAGGTCAGGGAAGCCTGGGAGAGGATGAGTACTTTGGTATAGAAGTGCCTCTCCTGTAGCAAAGGTGAAGGGAAGATGCATGGACCGCTTCCGAAGGTGCTCTCCTCCTTCTTCATCTCTGCAGGGCAGGAAGAGGACACTGCGGCTGACACGTGCACAAACCCACCCCACAAGTGTGTCACAGACATCTTTTGTGAAAATCCTTTTCTTTAGGATTTTTCCTTCTGAGAAGCTAAGAGGCCTCAGAAACAAAATGTAAACAATGGTTATCTGCTGCTGTGGAATGCAACAGGTGGATCTGTGATTGGTCTCGTGTGGATGTTTGGGTTTAGTGACCAGTCAGGGCAGAGCTGGCTCTCTCTCTCTCTGTCTGAGCCAGCTGCCTTTGTTATCACTCCTTTCCATTCTAGTCTTAGCTTAGTTAGCCTTCTGAGAGGAAAGTTTTCCTCCTATTCTGTTTAGTATAGTTTTAATGTAATATATATATAATAAAATAATAAATCAAGCCTTCTGAACATGGAGTCAACATTCTTGTCTCTTCCTTCACCTGAAAACCCCTGTGAACACTGTCACACAAGTGCTTCTGCAATGGGCAGTTGTGATCCCTGCAAGCAACAGCCCCTTTGCTCCAGCCAGCATGCATTCACACACACACACACACACAGAGAAAAACCAAACATCTGCAGCATAACTGAGCATCACCCCTGTTGAGGGGTGACCTTGCAGATGGGGATGCGGCTGAACAGCACCAAGCACAGAATCCCACAGCTGCATCAACAAAGGCGCAAGCAGCAAGGACAAACCCAACACACTGCCCTGCTCAGGACATCCCAGAGCCAGCCCAGCACGTACACGAGGGGTCTCTGTGTGACCACGATGTACTCGGGTTTGCCGTTCTTGTAGACCAGCCGGGCGTTGGCCTGCACCCACTTCCAGCGCTTGTCCTTGGTCAGCAGCCGGAACACGGTCAGCCCGCTCTCGCCTGTCTGCATCACTGCCGGAGGAAGCACCACTGCTGCCACCACGGAACACTGCCCTTCCCAGCTGGAAACAGCAGCAGCATGGCTGGCAGGCACAGGGGACTGTCACAGACATCTTTTATGGAAAATCCTTAGGATTTTTCCTCCTGAGAAGCTGAGAGGCCTCAGGAACAAAATGTAAACAATGATTATCTGCTGCTGTGGAATGCAACAGGTGGATCTGTGATTGGCCCATGTTGGTTGTTCCTAATTAATGGCCAATCACAGTGAGCTGGCTCGGACAGAGAGTCTGAGCCACAAACCTTTGTTATCATTCTTTCCTATTCTATTCTTAGCTAGCCTTCTGATGAAATCCTTTCTTCTATTCTTTTAGTATAGTTTTAATATAATATATATTACAAAATAATAAATCAGCCTTCTGAAAGATGGAGTCAAATCCTCATCTCTTCCCTCATCCTAAGACCCCTGTGAACATGGTCACAGGGGACAGCTGAACACTCCTCTCTGCACTCCACACCGAGCTCCCTGCAGCGACAGGAGCAGCACAGCAAAGCATCCTGTGGGGAAAGAGCCACTGGGCTTGACAGAGCAGCCAACAGAGCTGCCCCAGTCCCAGCCCACTCATCAGCACACAAGGGACCAGGGAGGGGACTCTTACTCCTGACATGGTTCTCAGCACAGTACAGCATGTCAGCAGCGTGGACAAACTGGTACCCCGTGCCACACATCCGCAGCTCCGCCTCGGTGTAGCCCAGGATGATCTTCCCCCTGTGAGACACAGAGAGCACACTGAGCTCATGGGCAAGGCTGGGGGGGATGTCAGGAATGGAGCACTGAAAGCTCTGCTGCTTACTTGGCATCACACGCCAAGGGGGTGAAGTCCAGCTTGTGCTTGGTCCTGAAGATCATGTTCTTGGTTCGGATCTGCAGGATGGACGGCGGCTGCAGGGGCGTGGAGATGGCAAACAGAGCGAGCTGGGGGGGCAGGACAGAGCCATCTTCAGACCTTTCATTCTGCCCATGAAGGAATTTCAGCCTGCCTTGAAGGTTCAAAGCCTGGGAAGAGAAGAAAAGCTCCGTGTCATGCAGAAAAGTGAGAAGGAAGAGAGCTACATGGAAAGATGTCTGTCTATAGAGTTGGTGTGAACAGAATCATCAAATCACAGCATGGTTTGGGTTTGGAGTGACCTTAAGGATCATCTTGTTCCAATCCCCCTGCCATGGGCCAGGACACGTTCCACTATCCCAGGTTTTTCCAAGCCCCATCCAACCTGGCCTTGGACACTTCCAGGGATGGGGCAGCCACAGCTTCCCTGGGCACCCTGTGCTCTCCAGTGCAGAGAGAAGGAGGGATGACCACCACCTACTTGATCTTAAGACACACTTTTAACAGAAAAACCAAAACATGGGAGAAAAGCACTTGATTGGTCAAGATTCAGCATTTCTGAGAGGAGAGGGACAAAACTCACAGGGAGAGGCTGTAGGTACAAGCCAAACCTATGAAAAACAGGGAAAGTCTCTTGCTGAGACAGGCAAGTGCTGCACATGGCAGAGAGGAGCACGGGATCTTTCCAGGGGGTGGTTTCAGTGCTGGTGTGACCCTCTGTGGTGAGCCTGCCCCTCTCCTGCTGTGGAGGGTCTATACTCACCAGGAAGCCGGAGGAATTATCCAGGAGGCAGCGAAAGCGGCACACAAAGCTCCTCTCCAGGAAGGAGGAGTTTTCTGGGGGCAGCTGATCCGGCTCGTAGATGACAGCAGAAGAGCTAAGACTCTTCCCTGCTGTGGAAGAGAGGGCTTGAGAGAATCGAGTAAGGATTCACCCCAGCGAGGGCTGGAGGTGCCCAGCACTGGGCACTGCAGCAGTTTGCAGAGCACAGCAACAGAAACTGGGGGGAAAAGCCACAACACTGGAACGAAGCCGTGGCCTGAGCCACATGGGGGCAAGTGGTGACAGCGAGCTGGGGTCCCAGCATCCCTGGGGAGCCCTGGTGCCACCCAGGATGGCAGCCTGCCTTTACCTGCTGCAGAGGGCTCACCAGCGTCCAGGGCCCAGCGGAGGTTGCGCCTGAACTCCGGCTGGTCCTCGGTGTGGATCAGCTCGAAGACACTCTGGTGCATGACATCTGTCTGGAGGGGACACGCCACCTGTAAGCTCTGCAGCCTGTCCCCAGGGCCAGTTTTCATGTCCCACCTGGGAACAGCCTGTCATGGCCTCAGCTGGTTTTATCTTACCCAGTTTCCCTGGTGCTCAAATGGGTCCCTGGCTAAATGAGGTTGGAAACTTTCCCCCAGAACTGATGTTGGTGGGAACAGACAGCACATCTGGCTTTAAGGACTCCTTGCCCATGCTGGGCCTGACCTCCTCCCCTGAGAAGCTTAAAGAGCCAATACAGCTTACCTCTGACATCCCTATAAGTCAAAATCCTAGTGCTGACTTAAGAAACTAGATGAAAACATGTACTTGGGAACATAACAGCAGCAAGGCCACCCCATCCCTACACTATTCCCAAGAGAACAATGCCCTGGGACTTGCTCCCTGTGCCCAGGTGGACAGGTACCATCTACCCCAGGTGTTGGGGACAGGCAGCTGTGTGTGGGTGACACCAAAGCACAGTAGCTGAAGCACTGCAGGTAAGTCCCACTTCCCTGTAAATATGATCTAGTGTCCTCCAGGTAACCTGGGTGCCCAAAGTGCTGGAGCCCTGTGGGATTTACCAGGATTTGAGTGGGTGTCCCAGGCTAACTGGGCAAGGAACCCCAGACATCTCCCCATGGCCATGAACCCCACGAAGGCCCATCAGCATGGAAAGTATCTATGGGCTGATGAAGTCCCTTGTCACCTACCAATGCCCACGTCTGGCAATACGGGGTCCAAGTTCCCAAGGAAAAGCCCCAGACAAGTCCCTGAGAGCCTGAGATCCCTGAAGAGCCTCCTCCCTGCAGGGAACTTGGGGCTATTCACCACCACCAAGGAAAAACTGGCTCTCCACAGCAAGTCAGAGTCCCACCAACCTGGTGAAATCCCAGATAGTCCTGGATTGTATGCGAGGAGTAAAATATCAGCCCTTCTGATGTCACCACCAGCACAAAGCCATTGAGTGCCTGTAGGAGAGAGGAGATCAGCAGGTACAGGCCACAACCACTTCAGTTCTACAGCAGGACACCCAAAGCCTGGCTAGCAGGCAGCTGAGCCACCACAGATGGCCTCTCTGAGCTCATGCAGCTCTTCCACATAGCTGCCTGGGAATATCCTAATCCAGACTGATGGAAAATTGTGCTTCCATCCTGGGAGCATTGATTCAGGCTCAGCTTTGGACATTTATCCTCATCCTGTGCAGGGAGCAGATAAAAGCCTCTGAACTTCTTGCAGTATCAAAGTGAACACCTTCAGGAATGGGTCCATTCACAGCCTTGAGGGCCTTGGCAGTCATTTGTGGCCATCCCAGGTTCTAGAGGAGAGGCCTGGAGAAGGACCATGGAATGCCTGGACTGTCTGTGGGCAAGGAGCAAGGCCAAGGAAGGTGTTGTCTCTGCTGCCCATTCCCTCCTCAAGGTGGCCAATGCTGAAAAGCATTGGAAATGGGAAGGCCAAAAGCTAAAGCATAAGGGTTTGGATTTGAAATTGCAGCAAAAACGATCTTGATTTCTGAAAGGCCAGTTTCTTCCAAAGCAGCAGGGAATTCAGGCTGAGTCTGGTGCCCAAACTTGGGGGAAAACTACAAAATCCCTGGGTGACCCCAGAGCACCTTTTCCTTTCTGCCAATACATTGCAGAATCATTTAGGTTGGAGAATCCCTCTAAGATCACCACCTCCAAGATCACTTCTTCTGGAACACTGCCTGGTTCATGCAGACCCCACATCCCTTAGGCTGAATGCTGTGCTCTGTTTTCACAAAATAAATACCCAAAGCTGTTGTTCCTGTGTGGATTTGAAGCCCCAAGCCCTCCCCACAGAGAAGAGCAAATGCAGCCATCAATCTGAAGTTTCCATTGCATTTTTAATGTTGCACACTTAGACATTTCACAGTTCACTGGCCCTTCCATCCACTCCTCAAGCTCCAGGATTGCAAAGTCAATATTCAAGGGAGCACCAGGCTTCCTGGCAGGAATAGGCTGAGCTGATCAGAGCCTCTGTCTTACTCAAGAGGGGCTCATTGCTACCAGTTTCATAAATTGGGGAAATAATTTAGGTGTTTTCCCCGAGCTAAAAAACCCACAGCAAGACAGAACACATGAGAAGGGACCAGGGTGCTGGATGACAGTGTCCTTTACAGGTGCAGAAGACTAGAAGGGGCAGAGGAGCTTCCCTACCAGTTTGGGATGCAGCTCTTTTGCAGGAGCCCACAGGCAGAACACTGCTGACACAGGCACTGACAGGATCCAGGGAAGCACCCTCAAGTGCCACAGGCACAGCACCAACCCTTATAAGCCTCTGTGCACAGAGCCCAGGGCATTGGAGACCTTGTCATGCCCCTGCCAGGGCTGAGAATAGCCCCACAGCAGAACTCCCTGAGCCCAGCTTGCTCTGTGTCTCAGTGTCCCCAACTCTGAAAATCCTGAGTCACCCAGCAGACACCTTCCAGCCCGTGAGCCAAGGCAGTGACACCCCATGAAAATCATTGGTTTGTCTTCCCAGAAGCTGAGGAGCTTTCACTGCCCTGACACCACCACGTGGCCACCCCTCCCTAAGGGGAACAGATCCTCATGGGGACACTGTCAGTACGAAGCAGGACCTCTCTGGAAGGCAGGGCTCCTGCAGTTTGGGCCCTGTGGCTTTTCAGAGCCAAAACCATCCTGTACCACTGACCTGGCAGGGAAGCCACAGTAGCCAGCCCTGGCCTGCTTCCCCCACTTCATAATGTACAGACATCAGCATTAATTAGGGCCTGGCATGGAGTCCCAGCCAAGTCCAGCTATTGTTGCTGCCAACTCCTGTTCCATTGTCCAGGTCAGAGTTTCTCCCCCCTCTCCTTCCCTTTATTCCAGGCACAAATGCTCTCTCTATTTACTGGGGTTGATCTCAGTGTGTGGGAATCTGCTGCAGAGGTTAATTAGTGCTGCCAAATGCACTTTAACCCTTTGAGCAGCTTCAGAGGAAGAATGGGGAAGAATCAGAGCAGACCAAGAAACAAAGGAAGTTTGGCCATCAGAGGTGACAGAACAGGTGGAAGTATGTTTATAAGTATGGAGGACTGTTTCCTTGGGGGGGGGTACAGAGACAGATTCTGAGCTCCTCCCACACCCAGGGTCCCATAGGTAGACCCTGAGAGAGCTCCACCATCTGCTTTTCAGATGCAGTTTGGTACCTCCAAAAGGATGGCACCCAACTGTGGGAGGAGCTGATGAGCAGCACATCAACCCCCAGCAAACCCTGCTCAGCACTTTTGTTATATCCTGAGGGAAAACCCTCAGGTTTCTGGTTATTAACCAGGCTGGCTTTAGCACTTCTCCCACCAGGCACAGAGATCCTCAGCTCTCAGGGCAGGACAGTAATTACACTTTGTGCTGAGTGAGCGCTTGGACGGGAGCTGAGGCTGCTCAGCACGCTCAGCCCATGCTGGAGGACAGCCAGGAGGGCAGGGGACAGTGCCACAGCCTGTGCCAGGTGCCAGGCAGGGGACAGTGCCACAGCCAGGAGGGCACGGGACAGTGCCACAGCCCTTGCCAGGTGCCAGGCAGGGGATGGCAGACCTGTGTCCTTGCAGGACCTCGTGCTGCCAGAGCGTGACCTCTTCCCATTCTCTGGGCACAGTCTGGGGACCTCCTGGCACCTCTGAACAAACCATGGCAGCTGCAGCACCACCAGCCTTGTCTCCAGCATCACCAAAGAAGTGCACTAGGGAAAACCAGAGCTCCTGGGATACACCCACCTACCCTGTGTTTAAGGGATGAGCACACGGCCCATCAGCACCTGTCTGTGTCACACATCACCTCCTGAAAATCAGGGGAGACTCCCATGAGGTTTTCTTCCCTGTTTTCATCAGTGTTTGGTCAAAAGCCTTGAGTCAGGATCAGTGTGCCCATGGTGAAAACTGCACTCAAGCACCTTGCTCAGCTTGGTTCTCACTTTGTACCTTTGGCACACTTAGACACGAAGGCAGAGAAGCAGAAAATACAAATCGCCATGCTCAGAAATCCAGCAAGATGTTCCTTACATATGGACTATTTTAAAATGGCAACTTTTTCCTGGAATAATGGGAAAAGCAGGGAAGAAGCAACAGTTGCTGCCCTAGGGACCTTTGGAGGTCTTAAACTTCTGCCCCAGTGAGAAGCACAGTGAGCTACACCATATGAAATGACAAATCACCTGCCATGAGTGAAAGAACAGCCTGGTTCTGGGGTACAACTCAAAGGAGCTGGAAGAGGGACAAGAGGAAGATCCTGTGAAGGCATTTGTGAGGAGCACTAACCTGTAGGAGCAGCTCACCCTCTGGAACTGCTGCTGAGCCCAGAGCTGGTCCAGTGCCACAGGTTCCATCCCTCTGGGCTTCCTTGGCACCAGGATTCTTCAGAGCAACTGCACCAAGAAAAGAGAAGGAAGGGACATCAGTGCTGCAGGAACACACTGCCACAACAGCTGGAATGCTGCAAGCTGGACAGTGCTGGGAAGGCAACATGCAGTCACAGCCCTTTGCTTCACCTCTCACAAGAGTTGATTTTAACAGGATGTTTCTTTCGCCACCTCTCAACTGTTTCGGTCTGGGTTTTTTTTTCCTGCCCACTCCTTTTGTCCCCCTTTTAACATCCTCTAAGTAAAAAGCAGTTAAAGCCAGGTAGGCATCAGAATCATAGAATTATGGAATCATTAAAGCTGGGGAAAGATCATGGAGCCCAACCATTCCCCAGCACTGCCCAGACCACCACCAAACCATGTGCCCAAGCGCAACATCCACAGGCCTTCTGAACACTTCCCAGGACAGTGCATCCACCACTGCCCTGGGCAGCCTGGTTTAATGCCTGACTTCTTTTGTGAGGAAATTTTTCCCAATACCCAAACTAAATCTACCCTGGCACAGCTTGAGGCCATTTCCTCTTGGCCTGTTCCTTGGTCCCTAGGAGCAGAGCCCAGCCCTCACCTGTCAGGAAGTTGTGGAGAACAAGAAGGTCCCTTCTGAGCTTCCTTTTCTCCAGGCTGACCTCCTTTCCCAACTCCCTCAACTGTTCCTCATCAGATTTGTGCTCCAGACCCTTCCCCAGCTCTGTTCCCTTCACTGGACATGCTCCAGCCTCTCAATGTCTTTCATACTGTGAGGGGCCAAAATTGAACACAGGATTCAAGACGTGAATCCTGTGCAATGCTCAGCACAGGGGACAGTCACTGCCATGGCCTTGTGGCCATGGCATGGCCTTCCTGACCACCTGGGCACATGCTGGCAGCAGCAGCAGAAGTCTGCCCTACACAGGAGGCATTGCAGCAAATGCCAGGATCAGGAATGTGCCGTTTTGAAGGACACAGCTCAGTGAATGTCTCGTTACAGTTCAGCAACCCAGTGGGTTTACTCAACCAAATTAAGGCAAGCCACAGCTCACAGTGGGAGAAAAACAACACAGAAAACACACGGATGCAGACACAGACACCCGAGATCCAATAGTGGTCCATGCACAATCCACACGCATGAGGGAATCTGTCACTCAGCTGAACTGAAGGATGTGCCCCTAAATTTTGTTCTGCACTCCCCAAGAGAACGGTTCCTGGGGATATTTGGGTGTGGATAAAAATTGAAGGGTAAAATGACAACAAGCCTGTGCATAACAGGCCTGTCAAGAGGAGCTCACAGGAAAGCTGGGAAGCCTCTTGCCAGCACCACGAGGACAGAGGACAGCATTTGGCCGCTGGTAAACCTGCTGCTCCCACTGGGATCTGGGAGGAAAGATGTGAAATGCCAGCTGCAGCACCACTGTGGCCTGCCAGCTCACAGAGGGAGCAAGAGCTCTCTTGGATCTGCCTTTGCCAGCTCCTGGACAGGAGGAGGGCTGCCATGCTCAAAGGCCATGGGAGCAACAAGTGGACTCTGGAAGCAATAGGACAGCAAGTCAGCAGGCAACAGCCATCAGCACATAAACAAAGCCAGGCTCTGCTCTCCCTGGGCTTTGCTAAAGCAGCTGCTGAAACTCAGCTCCTCCATCTGCACAGAGCTGATCCTGAAGGATCTCAGCTGCTGCAAAAGGTAGATGTTCCAGAGTCAGGCTTTGGGGACAAAGCTCTTCCACCAGGCACAGGACCATCCCAAAGATCGACTTTGCTCCGTAACCAAAGGCAAAGCACAGCCCAGTTCTAATACTTACAGAAAAACACCTGACACAGCAGCAATTCCCCTGCTTCTGGAAGCTCTGGAGAACTCCAGCTTAGCCTGCCCAGACTATTTCAGGAGCTGGCCAGGAATGGGCTGAGACCAGGACTGAGGTTACAGCAGTGTTTGTACAGCTGTGGGTCAGGCCTGAGCCACACACACAGGCTGCTGTGCCCTCACCCTCTCCCACCCCAAGGCACCACCAGGGTCCCCTGTCCAGACTGGAGCCCACATAAAACCCCAGGGAGGGACAGGCCATTGGGGTGAGAGAGGCCACAACACCCAGGCAGGGCCCTGTGGTGTGGAAGGAGCAGGTTTGTGCCAGCAGCCTTCCAGCAACTCGCTTTTCTGATCGCTGGGAGCTATGAATTATTAAAGGTCTCCAGTCCTCCTCTGTGAGCTCCCAGCCTGCTGCGCTGGAGGTGAGAGATAAAAATAAACCTGGCTGACAGGAGAGCAGCTAAAGGTGCTGCCCTCTGCTCAGGGCTCTGGTTTTAATGGCTCGATATCATCCCTGCAAACGGAAATCTTCATCTCAACCACTGCCTAAAACCAGGCTTTGCTATCAGCATCTGGGCTGTGGGGCCAGAGGAGACACAAAAACAGCAGAGGACAGCCTGCTGTCCTCTGTGGGGATGTCTGCCACTGTTGAAGATTGCAATGCAAGATGTTTTCCATTCCCATCTATATGGCAGATTACCTTTGTCAAGTGGGCAGTTTGCCTTTGGGTGACCACATTCACACCTCCCTTGGGAGGGGACTTTGCTGATAACAGACTATTGAATGTCACTGCATGGCTGATAAGAACTAGAACATCCCATTGGGAGATGCTCCGCCCAGAGGGAGGAGCCAAGCATTGCTACCCGGATATAATCCAGAGGTTTTGGAGACACCAGCATGGCTCTCTCCATGGGATTCCCCAGAGGAACAGCAGCTGTCTCTCCTTCCACTGGATCTTCAGAGGAAGAATCCATCCTTCTCTACAGGACCCCCTTGCTCCAGCAGAACCAGCCCTGACACTGCAGGAGGGCTGCAGCCACATTTCCAATGGGACTGCCACCAACACCCTGACCCACAGGGTGTCAGGTTGGGCTCTGACTCTGTCAGTGTTGTTCTACTGTACTGCATTGTTTATTTTATCCTTTTATTTTTTTTCCTTCCCCTATTAAAGAACTGTTATTTCTACTCCCATATTTTTACCTGAGAGCCCCTTAAATTAAAATTTATAGCAATTCGGAGGGGTAGGGAGGGTTTACATTCTCCATTTCAGGGGAGGCTCCTGCCTTCCTTAGCAGACTCCTGCCTTTCCAAACCAAGACAGCCACCAAACAGGATATAACCACTAGGGTGTGAGGGATAAATCAGAATTCCAGTGGAGGCTCCCCCATGAACTTCACCAAACAGCGCCTTTTCCGCCCGAGCCAGCCAAGGATCCCCAAAGAGGACGGGCTCCTGGCTGTGGCCGCAGCAGGCTGGCATCCTGCCCGGTGTCCCCCGGCTTTGTGTGTCCATAAATAGCCCCGTGCAGCCCCTGGGGTCAGCAATTCAGCAGAACTGTCACAGCACATCAGGCTGATGGAGCAGAAGGAGCCAGGGAAGAACCGCCACATCCTCTCTGCTGCGTGCATCCCGCCTGGAGCTGGGACTAGGAAAGGCAGGATTCACTCCAGGCACAGGGCTCTCCTTCAACCAGGGCAGCAAGACCAGGTGCAGCCTTTGCCCTTGCTGCACAACTGGGGACAGGCACTTGCAGGGAAAAAAGAATAAAAAGGAGAGAAGTGGCTTTCCCTGAGCTCCCTCCCTCTGGCCACCAGTGTCACCTTTGTGTGGTATTCACATTCTTTGGAAAAATCCCTTTGCCCAGGATTTTTCTCCTAGGAAGCTGAGAAGACTCCAAGAAAGCAAAATTATTATTTTATTTTATTCTCTTCTGTTTTGTTCATGTGGAATGTGCTTAGAGATTGTTTCATTAGATTCTGATGTGAATTGTTTTCATTCATTAGCTAATTAGTGCCAAGCTGTGTCAGGACTCTGGAAAGAGTCAGGAGTTTTCATTATTATCTTTTTAGCATTCTGTACGTATCCTTTCTGTATTCTTTAGTATAGTATAGTATTCTTGAATATAATATAGTATCATAAAATAATAAATTAGCTTTCTGAGAACACAGAGTCAGATTCATCATTCCTGCCTTCATCAGAACACCCCTCAAATACGACACCTTTGTTGCTGGAGGTGAGAAAGGTGAGAAGCTGGTCACCTGAAAGCAGCAAGGCTTGCACAACTCTCATGCTATTTCCTCCAAGAAACAGCTCCTGCCAGGCCCTGCAGGCTATTTGGCCACAAACAGCTCCATCTCCAGGTGCTTCTGAGCCTGGGAATCTGTTTCATGTGGTGCTGCAGGGACACCTCGCTGCCTACAGAGCTTGCCAGTGAACTCCTGAACCTGCCAGCGCTTTGTAGACCTGGGAAATCTCTGCAGCACCAAGCAGGAATTAACATTTTTGAGAGGATATCCCCCAGGCCCCTTCCCTTCACACAGCAAAAGCTCCTGGTGGGAGCAGGGCTTCCATCAGCCATTGACTGCAAAGGAGAAAAATGAAACAACTCGATCCCAAACCTGCTCCAGGTGTTGATGAAGGAGAAGGAAACCAAACTGCTTCCTGACTCTTCAAGAGCTGCAGGAGAGGGCTGGGCCATCTGCATGGCCACGGTCAGTCTGAGCAGACAGACAGTGGGGACAGAGGGGGACCAAGAGGGATTTTGGTAGCGGTGCTCCCTACAAACCTTCTGCCAAACACCCTAGAATGCACAAGCCACTCTGGGGGAAGGATTGACTGATTTCTTAACAAAACTGCCTTCTATCCACCTCTCTCTTTCTGTCATTTGTGCCAATCCCCTGAAGAACTGGTCTTACCTCACAGTAAAGTCTCTACTCCCACAAGTGCATCTCCAGATCTCCCTTTCCCATCCACTTCTCCAGCTTCTCCTTGCTCATGGGCAGAGGGACCTGCAGCTCTGCGGCTCACATCAAATAACCTCTCAACACTGCTTTTTCCTAAGTTTTATTGTTAGTAAGAGAGAAAATATTGGAAATTTAGAAAACATCATGTAAATGGTGAGGGAAGTGGGCACAGGTTTGCTGACACCAGGCCACAGAGCTATCTTTTCCCTGCCTTGCTGAACCATCAGCTGGGTTCTCATCAGTGCTGTTCAAATCCCATTTTCCAGCCACTGGCAAATAGTTCCTGACTTTCTATTTGTTAATTCATAATGGATACCAGGGTTTTACTTAACTTCAGACCTGCCACAGTTCCCTGTTGGCAAAAATTTCATTAAACAGATGCATTATTTATCCCTGCCTGAATGGTGTGGATGCCCTGTTCTCCAAGAACCACACTCGTGGTTAATAATGGATGGCCTCTTAAAAGATCTCACTGCACTTCTAGAAGCAAGGAGGCCTTGGCTACATGTAGCTTTTGGCTGTGTCACTTGGGTCTCAAAGGGAGAAAAACACGTGCAGGAGTTTAAACAAGGACAAAGATGACAAGGACCTGCCAGATTTTCCTTCTTCCTGCAGCATCACCAACTGTTTGAACCCTCCCTCTCCCAGTGCTCCTCCCTCAGGAGCTTTAGTGTCCATCACAGAAGGGTTTGGGTTGGAAGGGACTTTAAACACCAGCCGGTTCCACTCCCCTACTGTGGACAGGGACCCCTTCCACTAGAGCAGGAAGGATCATCCCAGCCCAAAGCCTCAGGCTGGAGTTTCTTCCCAGTCCTGCTCCCCTGCCAGCCCCCAGGAGGCTGCTGTGAGCCCCAGGGAGCCCCAACAGCTTCCCACCAGCTGCTTTCCTGAGAGTCAGGGGAAAACACTTGGCAAGGAAAGCACACCGCAGGAAAACTGCCTACCTAAGGAAGTCACAAGAATTCTCTGCCTTAAATTGTTCCTCCGAGGTCAGCTCGTTACCCAGGCAATTAAGAGAGCACAGTGATCACAGGACCAGGCTTTGTTTTTCTTAAACCAGCCCTCAGGCTTCGCTGCTACAGCTCTCTGCTGTGTTGGACAAACGGCTCAGGAGGAGGGAAGGCTCACAAGTGAAGGGATGAGCAGCGTTAGTCCCACACACCCCATCTCAAGCCCTCATCCCTAGGCAGAGGTTTCAGGGGCACACTCATATAGCCTATAATAATTATATAATTAAAAGCACTTTTCCAGCCTGACCTGACTGCAGCTCAGGCACTTTTTGGGCCACCACAGCTCCAGCAATAACAATCTGGGTTCATGTCACAGTTCAAAGGGTGAGGCTGAGCCCAGAGGCTGCACATTGATCCTACAGCAGGCACCAATGATTTTAAGAGGACTCTGGGAAAATCCCTAAGCCCCCAACATCCCCAAGAGTGTTATCTTTTAAAGATACATGGGAGAGAAAAACTGCTGAACTTCTGGATACACGACCTTAAGCTTCCATATGGAAGAGACCCATGCAGAGCTCAAACCCACACAGAGCCCAGAACAACTCTGACCCACAATCACAGACCGTGCAGCCAACAAGCCAAAAAGTCTGTGTGGTGTTTCCCCCTCTCCTCCCAGCCAGTGATGCACCTGAGCTGCCCAGAGAGCCAGGCAGGATGCTGCACACAGGCAGAGGTGCATCTGCATCCCCGAGGATTCCCACTTCAAGGCAGGGTTAGCCCATTGCTATGGGGTTCAAACAGGCAGCTCCTGGCACCACGGACTGACCTCTTCCTACAGCTCATAAACCCTAGAAGTGATTCAGAGCATCGAGAGAAATCCCACAGATGAATCACTGAACATCAGGCACAGGGCTGTGACAGGCATAGGCACCCTGGGGACACCCAGGGACGAGTGAGTGCCCAGCAGGGGCTACACTCACACACCAGAAGGGCCAGTCTTGCTATAGGATGGGAAGCACAGCTCAGACGACCTTCCCAGCACTCTGCAGGAACAAACTGCTAGAGATGCTTCTCTAAAGTGAGCCCTTGACCACTGTGACATCTGCCAGCTGGCCTCCCACCAGGAGTTCAAGTGGCCCAAGATACACAGATGGCACCTGACACACACACGACAAGGTGCCTTTGAGGCATCTTCTTTTTTTGGTAAGAAATCCTCTCACAGAGCAAGCCAGCAAACCTTCCCCTGGAGCACCTTTCCTTCTCTCCCCCTTTCCAGAGGGTGAAGGAGGTGAAAGAGACAGGGACCCCTGCTCCCCTCCCAGCAGCGTTTGCTGGGCCCTTGCTCCAGGAGGCAGAACAGGGAGGGATTAGAGGGGAGCAGCCCGGCCAGGAACCACCGGGATAAGCTGCTGGCACACAGCTGGCGTGACATGCTGTGCACCCCCTGGAGCGGTGACAGCAGCACATGGGCTGGGAGGGGACAGGGAGGTGCCCTGAGCACAGTCCCACCTCTACCAAATCTCACGAGCTGAAAGAGCCTCCAGCAGAGAAGGGAGGGAGGTCAAGGCAGTGAATGAGAATTAAAAACACTTGTGAACCAAGGCAGATAAGAAACAAGGCATTTGGGAGGACTGCTGTAGGGGAAGAAACCTGGATGGGAAAGGAGGACAGACAAGCCTTTAAATCAGCTGGCACTGATGTTTGGATAGGAGCCTCAGCTTGGAAGCAACCTCAGCTCCTTTTGGCCCTTCTGGTCCAGGTGCTGGGTTCTGGTCAGTGCTGCTTCTCCAGCAGGATGGATGTCAGATGGGATGGATATCCTGCTCCCTGGCAGGACACCTCTCCCAATGTCTCCATCCCTCCTGTGATCCCGCTCTCCTCCTAAGCTCACCTCTTCAATGGCAAGGAAGCACTTGTGTGAACCTGGGATTGCCAAGTCAGGCAATGGGGGAAGGGAGAGGTGCCTGGGAATCTCACAGAGGACAGCAGTGCTGCCCCATCACAAAGGGAGCCTCTTCCACCTGGCATGGATCAGGAAGAGACCTTGGCTGGGATCCCGCCTCCTCCAGAGCTACCGAACACAGCCTGGCACTGAGCTGCTTCCTGCTTTGTTAAACTGGAGAGATCTGAGTGGGGAAAATGGAGTGGAATCAGCCCACAAACACACAGAGGATGCCCTTGCCAGCTGCTCTCCCAAAGCCCTGCAGAAAGCCAGCACCAGGCTGGCAGCAGAGCCACCAACACAGCCCAACAGCCCGAGGGATGTTTTTGGGTCTGCTTGGGTAAATGACCCTGCTCAGCAAAGGCAGCGCTTGATGATCCTAAACCACTCCAGAGATTAAACAACACTGAGCAGCCTTAAATCCCCTGATTCCTGTCACTGAACTGCAGGCCTTGAGTGGTGCTCCCGTGCAGGCAGGGAGGCAGCAGGGACAGCTCCCTTCACACTATGGAAAATAAAAATCCTCATGTCCTCGGGAAAAACACATCCTTACAAAGCTCAAAGAGCTTTAAGCCCATTCAAACTTCCCCACATATCAGCTATGCATAAATCGAGATGGCAAAGTAACATTATGTGCTGTTAATTATTAAACCGATTAATAATTAATAAATCAATTATTATTTATTTATTCTGGCAGGGGATGGGCTGGCATACACCTGCTGGGTGAATTGCTGTCAGCAATCATGGGCAACACCTGAGACCTGCTCCAGCTGTTTCTCCTCACAATCCATGGCAGCACATCCCAGGTTTTGTCCTTGCTTTCCTGAAACGTTCTCTTAGGGATCACTCAAGCAGGGTGGATAGATAAATAAAGTCAGTTAAAATCAATTATTTTCTTGATAAGCTTACCCAGAGTTCCATTTAAGGATTCTTTCTAAATTGGTATTAAGCATCACAAAGGACTCAGCTCCGTCTGCAATCTCCACTTGCATCTGAAAGGCTGAAGCTCTCCTCCTCCCATGCCACACCTGCCTCAAAGCCATCCCACAGCCTCGGACAAACTGGAAATCGGTGTCATGGAATTAAACCATGACAGTGGAACGACAGTGGGGGGGGGGGGGGGAAAGGACCCAAAACAAATGAGACAATCTCAGAACAGTAAATTCCCTGATGAGCTGGTGCGGCAAGGCAAACAACTCTCCCAGGCCATTCCTTCCCCAGCCCAGCCGCTTGCCAGTGCTTAAAGTGGGGTTAAAAGGGAGTGGAAAGGCAGAGGGGGAAGTACTGAATATATTCAATGAGAAATTGTGGTGAATCTGTGGCTCGAAAACGCAGCATTTTCGAGCCACTGCTACTCCACCAGGAAAATCCAGGGATATCTCAATGCCCTCCTGAGGGCTCCTCTTAATCAAAATTACAGGGTGGCGGAACGGCTCCGGAAAATAAAAGATTCCCAAAAAGAAAAGGCTCCCAGATGAGGGGGTAAAAAGATGAAATTCTAGGACAGGTAAAGAACAAAATACTCGGGGGAGAGAGGAAAACAAAATTCATGGGGGGCACGGCAAAATTCCAGAGGTGTAAAGACAGGAACGACACAAAATTCGAGGGGGTAAAACCCACCAGAATTTGAAGTGGAAAAAATAAATTAGGGTGGGAGGGAGCCCCAAAATCCAAGGGGGACGGGGAGGGGAGAAACCAACCCCAAAATTCGAGGGGAAAAAACCCAACCCAAAATTGCAGGAGAAGAGGGAAATCCCACAAAATTCGAGGTGGAAGGAGGGGATCAATTTCAATGGGAAACAAAAAAAACCCAAACAAAAAACATTGACGCCGTTAAAGACACAAACATTCAAAGGCGGAAAACACACACAATTGAAGTGGGGGAAACCCGTCAGAATTCGAGGAGGGGAAAAAAAATCCCACAAAATTCGAGGCGGGATCGACACGAAACTCCTGAAAGTCCGGAGGAAACCCCAAAATACTACGGGCGAAAAAAAAAAAAGCACGATTCCGGGAGGGAAAGAAAACAAGTTTTTGGTGAGGGAAACCCCATGAAACTGTAAGGGAAAAAAACCCCGCACCACTAGAAATTCTAAGTGAAAAATACTCTGTGGAGGGAAACAAAACCCACGAAGAATTTTGGAGAGAGGCGGGGTGCAACAACACCCCGGGAGGGGTGACACAGCTGCAGGAGGAGGCAGCGGTGAGGGAGGAGGGACAGCACAGAGCTCCGGGCAGGAATTGCGGCAGGGGAAGCGGGGAAGGCGCTCATCCCTTACCGCCCAAGAAGCTCCTGGCGCGCAGGAAGCCGGCGCTGAGGCGGAGCACCGAGAGCTTGTCCAGCCCGGCCACCACGTCGGGCGGGAAGGGCAGCAGCCCCGCCAGCCGCTCCAGCTCCCGGTTCAGCCGCTCCCGGTGCCGCTTGGACGGGTTGGAGCCGCCGCCTTCGGCCGGGCCCGGCCGCGTCCTGCCGGGCACAGCCGCGTTACCGGGGACACCCCTCAGCCCTGCCCCGGCCCCCTCGGCCCCTTCGCCCTCACTCACGCCCGCGGCACCGGCTTCCTCCTCCTGCGGCCCGCGTACATGGCCGGGCCGGCAGCGCCCGAGCGCCGCTCCCTCAGGGAGAGAGGCAGGGGCAGCGGGAATGGGAGCGGGAACGGCCCGCCCCTGGCGAGGGGGGAGACGGGGGATGGACGGGGATTTGGGGCTGCGAGGGGTCGATGTATGATGGAGCTGAGAAGGGATTTGGGGGCTGAAGGGGGAGTGGGAGCTGGCGGAGAGAAAGGGTGATGGGCGGGAGGGATAGCGGGGGCTAACGAGGAGGTGAAGGGGGCTGAAGGAGGATGTGGGGCGTGGAGGGGCTGTGGGTGGGGATTTGGGGCGTTGAGGGGAGGTGCGGACTGGGCCGTGGGTGCCGATGGCTCGAACAATCCAGCTGGTGCTTGGCCAGCGATGCACAGAGCGCCTGCCAGGTGCAGAAGGGCGCACACCTGAGGCTTGCGGGTAAGGCTGGTAAGAGGCAAATCCTGCCTTGTTGTGGAGTAAGTCTTTATCATGCCAATGTCCTCCCTCACTCCTGTTCCTAAGTCCAGGGACATTCACACACAAGCTGAAGGCATCCATCTCGAACAATCCAGCTGGTGCTTGGCCAGCGATGCACAGAGCGCCTGCCAGGTGCAGAAGGGCGCACACCTGAGGCTTGCGGGTAAGGGAGGAGGCTGATAGAGGCAAATCCTGCCATGTGGAGTAGGTCTTTATCATGCCAATGTCCTCCCTCACGTTATGGCTCAGCTGTGAGAACTGTTCCCAAGTCCGAGGACACTCACACACAAGCTTAAGGTACCCATCCCGACTGATGGGCCATAATTAATTCAACTACAGCTCCCTTGGAGACAGCTGCAACATCTCAGAAGGTGTAAAGAGTCCCCAGGTGTCCCGCGACCCACAGTATTATCCAGTGTGAAGCTCCTCGCCCCAGGGAGAGGTACAGGGGATGTTCTCACCCAGCCTCAGCAGAACATAAACCCCATGGATGTGGTGTTTGTTGGACTCTTTCCCTTCACCACTCGATGGATGTAGTCAGCAGTCACTTTCTCTCCACCATCCTATCTTTTTTCCCTCTCTCCCCCCCACCTTCACATTTGCTGTTAAATAAAAATCCATGCTATTGGCATTGGCATATGGTGTCCTTTACACCTTATTTTGGGCAAAGGCATCTCTGTAATCATTTTTAACAGTCGGATATTTAAAGCCACGTGTGTCAATGCCAAGTGCAACCCTGCCTGTGAGTCCCACAACCCCACAGGGCAGTTTGGGGGTGCAAAGGGGAGACACTGTCACACCTCTGCTGCCGTGCATGCCCACAGTAGCTGGGGACAGTGACAATGAGAGTGTCACACACCCAGCACCAGGACTTAAGCTTTTCCCAGTGCTTGCTCAGTCAAGGAAGAGATGGAGAGACATGGTTTTGCTGTAGATAGATAATGAGATGATTGGCTGTTGCAATTAAGGGATAACTATTGTGTGAATATTAGAAAAGCTTTAGTGATGTGTAGTGATGTTATTCTAGTTTAGATGTCCTCTGTTCTCCCCATAGTTCCCTTTCCCCCCCCTGTATTGTTGCTATCAGACAGCCTGGGCTGTCTAGGACAGGTACAAAGCAGGCTGCACATGTGCCCCTTGCATGGGGCAGTTGGGAATGGAAAAGCTTGGTGCTTAGGAGCTGAGGCATGGCAACACCTGACCTCCAATCCAGTTACAAGCAAGCAGTCTCCAGCAATAAATGGCAAAGAAGAGCTGACTGACAGACTTTGGGAGGGCCAGGGCTGGCTGATGCAACCCCCAGGGGTGGTCTATAAAAGACTGAGCGCCCATCTTGAAGACAAACCAGCCACGTGGTATGCACGAGGGCAGTTCCCAGCACTGCAAATTTTCCCGTATGTAGTCCTTTGTTGTATTTTTGTCAAAGTTTAATAAACCTTTTTAAATTTTGAAAGTGAGCAGTCGTTTCTCACAGTTTCGGGTCAAAACAGACATCAGCACAAAGCAAATCGCCCTTTAATCCATCACCAAACACAGGGGCGAGGCTCCAGACAAGCTCTTTTCTCCCCAGCACCTTCAGGCTGCCACCAGCAGCACAAAGAAATCACAGAGCAGAAAATGAGACGCTGCCACCAGAACAGACTTTATCTGTACAGCCCCGAGGCACAGAGAGATCAGACACCAGTGACAGAGCCCTGGGGGGGGACTGTCACAGCCCCAAGCAGCAGTGCCCCCACCCCAAGGCCCATCTCTGGCAGCACTGGGAGTCCCTGGTATGCCCCCAAAACCATCTCACCGGTGCTAGAGCAACAGAGGCTGGTGAGCAGAGTCCATCCCGCTACTTTTTGGATCTGGGTCGTGGCCAGTCAACTCCTTGCTCGGCCAAGGTGCTCCTTGAAGCCACCTCAGAGTGGTCCAGCATGTTTCAGCATTGCTCTGCTCCCAGCCTGCACAGAGGAGCTTGACCTTTCCCAGGCCCCATGAGCGGACGCACAGACCCATGAGGAGGCCACACTACACCAGGACATGTGGGCTTGCTGCTGGCCCTGCACTAATTACCTGATTTAATTTGATCCCTAAATGCTTAACACTGGTGCGCCAGGAAGATGTGATGCTCAGGGTGATGGGTGCATGAGGGGAAGGAGTGAATGTCCCCGAGCACTCTGATCTCTCTGACCCAATGCTGCAAGTCATTGTGGTCTCAAATCATCCCCACCCTCCCCAGTCATTGCTTTTTTTGTGGGTTTCCCTGATGGATCTGCAAGACTTTGCACTCATGGTGGGGAAAAAACAATTCATTCACATTTTAGGTTACATCTATAGAAAAGGAAGAGAATTCAACAAAGTGGGTGTTCTGGACTGCAGAAGAATGGTTTGAGGGGCACCAGGTGGGTCTGAAGTGGAGAGGCAGCCAGTGGTCACAGCATCCCTCCCTGCCTTTCCTTCTCACTGCTTTGGCAAAACCACAGGGGGAACCCCCACCCTTCTCTGTCCCACAGCACTGTGGAGCAGAGGAGAGGACGACAAGGACAAGCCAGTGACAAACCCAAGGGGAGCTTGGCTGGACCTTCCCCACCCTGCATCCCAGAAAGGTTACAAATGGCCTGGTACCCACCTCTCCCAGATTCCCCTGGGAGGCTGCTGGAAAGCCCAAATCCCCAAGATGCCTCCACTCCCACCAACTCCACCTCCCACCAAGACCCTTCAATGCTGCTGAGCTTCTTGAAGTGCTTGGTAACATCTTTTCCAAAGGATTCAGATGGTCTCTGGAGGAGATGGAGAGCACAGGAGGAAAAGAGGCTCAGGCTGGCAGAGATGATGCAGGGGACTAAACAGCAGCATGACAAGGGTGGTCCAACACAGGAGATGAGGAGACCACGCTGTTTTGTTGAGAAACAGCAGTTCAGTGCTATCTGCCTGTGAGGCAGCAGCTCCATCGGCAAGAGGCTGCCCCAAGCACATGGATGTGCCAGCAAGCACACTGTCCTTCCTTGGACCCCAGGAGCCTGCAGGCCTCCCCAGTGGCACAGCTGCATCTCCCTGAAAGATTCCTCATGGAACAAACCACTCAATCTTAGACTGCCTCACAGCATTGGAAGACAAAATCCTGAGAGACCAGGGAGCACGGGGCACCACTGGCAGGTATGAGAAGGGCTCACAGCCGCTGGTGGCTTTCCAAGACAGGGCTCCTGGTTCACAGTGAGCTCCAAACCAGGCTGCTCACAAAGGATGGTGTGGCTGCACCCCTGACAGACATCTTGCTCCCTCCACAGGAACCAGGCAACCCCTCAGGTCCTGCAGCCCTCACACCTCACCTTGAGCTGGATCTCACAGGCACAGAGGGGCTGCCCAGCTGAGAGGGGAACTGACGGGCAGCCAGGGCCCTGCCTGGAGCACGGGGGCCTTCTGCACCCACCGTCACAGGGAGAGCTGCTGAGCACCTTGGAACCGAGCCCGGTGAGGAGCAGGGTGCTCCAGGGTGGTTCTCAGTGGGGCAAGGCAAAGCACCTGGCTGCTGGGGAAGGGGTGTTTTAGCAGCATCCCTCAGGAAGCTGCTCTCATGCCTAAAAGGGCTGTTTCCATACTGGCACTCGGACAGCACAATGCAGTCCATCTGGTGGGCACTGGGATCCATGCTGGAGCCCAGCTGGAGCCCACTGTGGTGTGCTGGCCCTGCTCCATGGCTCCTCTGAGGAGCTGCCCCAGCCTGCGGGAGCCACAGCTGTGAGAACCACTTGTCCTCTCGGAGCACTGCCTGCTCCCCCTCCCAGGAAAAGCTGGGCTCTGCAGGGGCTACCAGGGGCTGTTTGGGGAAGCCACCATGCTCTGGCAGCTGCCTGGCTCCTAAGGGGGCAGGGAGAGCGACCTCCACAGCACAGAGCTTCCCATCCCCAGAGAACAGGGACTCACACAAGCCCTGGGCACGGCAAAGAAAAGACTGGGAGGGGGGTGGCAACCACAGCCCAGCCCCTGGGGGATTCTCAGGACTGCCACCTGATAGTGCCTGGGACTCCAGGTATGCTCCTACAGCTTCCAGCTGTTTTGGAGCTACGGCCAGCGAAGCCTCCGATGGGCAACTGGCTGGGTTTGCCTGGAGAGGGACATTGTGGCACAGAGTCCCCAAGGTGTTTGAGTGCACCGGGGATGAGCCCACCAGCTGGCACCCAGGCTGGCTCTGAGCAGCAGGAAGAGTGTTATGTACAGGAGCAGAGGGGGTGGCTTCTGCCTGAAGTGCTTGGTTTGCCAGCTGAAGTGCTGCAGAGGACCTGCTGCTGGAGATGGGGACACCCAGCACAGTCCCTGCCACCGGCCTGGCTGGGTTGAACGGGACCTGCTGCTCTGGCTGGGCAAAGCTGCCCTCAGAGGGAACAGAGCCCACGGCCCCCTGGCCTCCCCATGTGCCTGCTGCCTGGGGCTCTGCTGGGAATGCTGAACCAGCTGCCCAGCAGCGCTGGAAGTGAGCCACAGTACTGCTTTCCTCATGGCAGTGTGGGAACTCCAGGCTCTTTCCAGCACCCTCCCTGAGGAGCATGTGCTCCACACAGGATGTCACCTT